TCTCCTAGCTTGGTGGGGCTGTTCCCATGTTGTTCCCCTGCCACTGAGAGTACAGTGTGGATGTGGAGAACAGCTGGTTTATTCTCCTGGTTTCTATCTCTGTGGTATACCTCTTTGCGACTGGCCAAGGCTGTGAGTAGCAGTTTCCAAGGCCTCGGGAATGGGCTACTCTCTGTACTTCTTCACACCTTTCTGCAGCTCTGATAGTTGGCTAACTCCCCTTCTACCTTGATCTCGGCCTCTAGTCTCCTTCTCCATGGAGGGCACTGCTCCTTGTGGTTGTTCATCCTGTAGCCAAGTATCTCACTGATCACTGCTGCCATGGTGTACATCAGCTGATTGGTTTCAGTGATGGTCACAGCATGTATTGTCAGTGATGCTTCATTCACATCATCTAGTAGACTTTGAGAGGGTACTTCATGTAGTCTGGGTAGTTTTATACAGAGGGTCCAGGTTTCCAGCTCAGCCATCATCTTCTCTTTCAGGTCAGCTGCTCTCATCTTCCACGCCTTCAACGTATCAGGTGTTCTTGGGTTTGGTACCCAATCTTGGAAGGTGGGATTGATGATATCTGAAAGAAGGGTGTAAAATCCTTCAAAATAAAAGTATTTCTCCACTGCTGAGTTGGATTATGCAATATGACCAGTTACTGACCTTGGTTTGTTGTGCAGCTCAGCAGTGAGATCAGAACTAAAGAGAAATGACACTCAGGTTGATTTGAGGTGAACATAAAGAACACAAACACAAACAGCTGACAAACACACAAACATCTCTCTGTTATATCTGCTCATTTTCTGTTTGATGACAGCAACTGAGGTGTTTCAATGAAGTTTGTACAAAACATCAACATCCAGCTGCTTAACCAATCATCAAACTTTGGCTCAACGTAGAGGAAAACTTATCTCAGGTGTCACTGTGGTATGTGGGCAGGGTGTAAATGTGACAGATCATCAGTAAATGCAGAGTTAACACAGAGAAATAAAAAAATACTTTGACTCAGCAATTTAAAATCCCAAAACCTTGAATGTGTCCTGAACTTGATTTAAGCACATTTTACACGACACTTAATGATTTCCAGCACTTAAAGGGACCATTATTATTAGGTGCACTAACTGGGGACATACAGAAATATATCCACTACATTTAAATAACCCAGTAAAGTCATGTGTCCACTGTGCAGCTGTGCTGATATAATGAGGGAATGATTCGATCTTTTCACTGCCTGCTGTGTTTCCTCGACTCCTGAGCAAAGATAAAGAGTCAGTTCAGACCTGCAGT